ACAGAAACACTGTGATCCCTTGCCCTGATGCCAGAGATAAATGCTTTGACTCTGGACTCTATTATAAATATTCTCAGAACCAAACCACTCAGCAAACCTGCCTCGTGATTCCACTCAACCCTGTCATAATGATTTTAGAAGAAAACCACAAGAAACGTGGTGGTTTTGGGTCCTTGTCAAAGCACAGCAGAAGAGCGTTGGTTGATTACTTTTTTAAAATTCATTTTTACATTCAGAGTGAAAGTTAGGGCGTATACCTAAATATTAGAAATGTAAAGAGGGTCTTACATATGATTGTGGTGAGAAACCACTGATATAATTTGAAAACTTAGTGTGGATGCAGGACATTGCATAATTTAAATATAACTTTGTGAAATCCCATCATGAAAACTGTATGTGCTTCTGGGTTACTCTACCCTTTCTTAGCTTTCTATTTTGTCTCAAAAGCTCTGTTTTTCCTGATACACTAACAAAGAAAAATATTCAAACTTCAGCTCTGTGAATCTAACATTTTCTTCTCCTGTCCTCTTTGTCCATGCTTTCCCCAGACACACACATAAACAAAAAGTAGCCCATGGCATGTACCTGAAAATGATATGCCCTCCTCTGCACACCTGGGTATGAACGCAGTTGTAGACAGCTGCTGTGAAATAAAATCTTTTTGTGATGAATAACAGCTCTGGAGCTCACCAGGCATCTGACTATTACTAGTCAAGGGATTGCTGAGGTCAGTGGCAGCATGTGCAATTACAAAACACCGGGCAGTTGTCCAGGTGGTTGGTGGAGGCACAAGCACACCCTGTAGCTATGAGTGCATTTGAGGCTCTGGACTGGGCAGTGTTGAGGACAGGGGATTGTGGTGGTGGCAGCTCAGGCAACTGTAGCTGTGTCTCATGACAGTGAGCAGAGCTGTTGGGAAGGTGACTAAGAGGCTCCAAAGTGTGTAGCAAGTTTCTCCTCCTGGGCTATCCACTATTCTATGGATAGCGCAGGGAGATTTGCTAACAGTGCTCACAACTAAGCCAGATGTGCTGCTCTGGCTGGTTGGGGCACTACCATGTCTTCATGCAACCCTTCTCTCTGCCTGGCCATCATGCAAGATGATTATTGTTGCATCAGGCATGAAGGGAACACAATGGGGGCTTTGTTTGCAGATGCTGCTGACCACAATATGATGTCTAAAGAGTCTCATCTCTCTTCATGTTGATGAGACACTGGTCCATAAAGTGATACAGTTGAAGCACTTGCAGGGACTCATCCTAGTAGGATGTGTGTGGTGTGGTGACAGCCACTGCCAGGCAGACAGGAGGAGTGGAAACATCTTTAGCCTCCCCATGAAAAAAGCCCAGAATTAATCTCTCAGAGTCCTTTCCAAATGCTGTAACTGCTAATGCATTTAGTGCTCTGAATTGCTTCTCCTTCCCTCAAATTCTTATGGGACCAGGAATATCTGGGTTAGAGGCCATCAGCAGGTAACAGTGGTGTGGCCCTCTGTGCCCTGTCAGAGGGAAGTTTGCAGTCCTTCCAAAAGGTGTGAAAGCTGACACAGCAAAGGTCTCCTGAGATTAATAACAGGATAGAGCTTTGTGTGCAGACAATTCTTCCCTCTCCCCCACTGCTTTAAACAGGAGTGCAGAGGGTCCCAGTGAAGCCAACCTTGCACACTGCAGACAGAGCTCTCTCACATCTCTTTAACAGTTGGAATTGTGAAATATTTGTTGCATCTATAATTAGGGAGTAGAACAGATGGCTAAAGCTTAGTTATAATTAAAGTCTAATGCACGGTAAAATAACCCAATGCAGCCAGTGATTCAGCAGCAACCAAAGAATTTTAATTCCTTCTTTGCTGGGCTTAAGCTTCAATTGCAGGAATTGGGACTTCAAGGAAAATCTGTTGCATCACTTATTACATAGGGACATGGCTCTATATTAAAGGATTGTGTGGAAATTTTTGATTGCTATGTATTAAGTTATATTGTGTGGTCTTGCTTACCTTAGTAGCTTGAAATCATGTGTGAAAAAGGCATGTGAATTGTTTTAACAACACGGAATCTGCATGTTGCAATCCGTTTTAGAAGAGACTTAAAACCTGTCTGCCTAGTAATTGATTGCTAATGCTTCAGGATAAGGTATTTGGAAAGAGGCATTAACTAGGTGCTCTTAGGAACACATTTTAGTTATAAATCTGTTTTAAATGGAGCTTTCAGAAACATCATTTAATGCACATTCAACACCACTTTCAAGTATGGATCGTTAGAGACCTCATGCCATGAGAAGTGGAAGCAATTGAATAAGCTTCTCATTTCCTGGGAGGCAGGAGACCAGATAAGGAGTTAGCATCAGGCAAAGAAACATGAAGAGGTGTTGCTGTGAGTTTTGCAGACTGTGGAAATGGTTTTTATGTTTGAGGTTGGGTTTTTTTCCCAGACTCTTATTTAAAGCAGAGGGAGGTAAGTAATACATCCTGCCAAATGTATGTAATGCCAGCTCTCCCAAAAGGAGAACATGAACAGTTCTGGACCATTCCTGGAGACTGAGAAAACACCAGAGGAAATGTTATTATGAGCGTTCCCCTTCCTCATCTTCTCAGATAACTTATTGGAAAGATTCACCTGTATCTACCTGGGATATTGGGACAATCATTGGTACACTAGTGATGCAACTTGCTGGGGCTACAGCTGCCTGAGAGGTTTTAAAGGTGTCCCCTCCTCCCCTTTCAGCAGGTTGGAAGGAGCTGTTAAGTGACAGGTTTTTCTCAAAGCCGTGATCAGCCTTGAATGGCCACTGCTCTTCCTGGACCTGTCCCTGGAGGACTTGGGGGGCACCTCTTTTGTAGTGAGCATGAAGGGACAGCCAGTTACCTGGTGTTTATTGTGAATTATAGGCATGCAGACAGCCCATAACTGCTCAGTGCCCAATCAGCATCCCATACATTTTGGTTGTCCCTTTAGTGCTGTCTTAAGCAGCAGTGGATTTGGGTGCAAGAGTTGTATGTATGCTATATGGGCACCACAGGACTTGAAAAGCTACTACATTTAGCAAAGCTAATGCAGACTGTGGATGCTGCCTGGAAATCCTTGAGCAGGAGGCAGGTAGTGTTAAGGGTTCCGAAGTGATGCTATTTGAGCAACTTGCACCATGCTTTGGAGCCCTGCCCTTAAGAAGAGTGACTTGGAAAAAAACTCAAACAACACCACTAACAAAAAAGGTAGGAATGCTTCTCATCTCTAAATTTGTCTCAAATGTGGGCCTAAGGGCTAAAATACCCTTGCTCTTCAAGGCTAGTGCACCCCTGCAAGACAGAGCTGACCTCTGCTTTCACACCCACACAGAACCTAGTCTCTAAGTGAATCTAGAAAAGCCCCTGGGAAAAGGTATGGAAAGTCAGTGGCCACCCGAGAAAGCCAGGATTGGGCCTTTTGATGGATGAAAATAGAATGGGGAATGGAGGGCAGCTCAGCTTCACTAAAACCCATGCCTTCAGGGAAGTCAATATGCAGAGAGAATAAAAAGAATCCTCCTTCACCCTTATCCCTACTCCTAAATCGAGTGTTTCTGACCTGTCACCTCATAAGACAACAGCAGCGGTGCTCAGCAAGGGTCTGTGGAGCACCTCGGAGCCAGTCCCACAAGCACTGGGAGTTTTGGGTGGCTGCAGCAACTGCCCGGCCGCCAATAATGCCATGGCCGGGATCCCCGATGGCAGGGATCACCAGATGGCAGGGATCACCAGATGGCACTGTTACGCGCACTCGCAATAGCTCCCTTTCCTGCACGGCAAATGTGCGCTTCCTCACAACACGTTGTGTTGCTGAGGTTTTTAAGAGGCTGATTCTTGAAAATCAGCCTTTGGTTCTCAGTCTGCCCCCTGTGTGCTGTCCCTCGAACCAATGTTGCTGCCCGGGGGAGGTTTGATCCCCGCAGAAGGAGGGACTAGGCTTCTAAAAATGTAGGATCACCTGTGTGTTTGCTGGGTACCTCTCGTTTAGCTGGTGTTACCCCGATGGCGTGTCACTTCTGTCAGCTTCACTTCCTAACAAAGAGCAATACTGGCTTCTGCCATCCTGTGGCCGTGGGAAAATTACCCTCGTTTGAAAAGCTGAAGTCTGAGCTGAGAGCTTCGGACAGAGGGTTAATCTTTTGCCTACTTCAAGGGTGCAGTGTATGACGTGCTTAGCCTGAGTCACAGCAGAAATTGTTTCACTTTGGAAAAAGTGAGGTGCAAAGATTTGATCGTATCAGATGTGAAGCTTTGTTTTTTTTCAAGGATACATACATGAGCTATTAACATCAAAGCGCAAGGATGGGGGTAATGCAAGAGACTCTTCTTAAGTCATTATCTTCTCCACAAAGACATGAAACACTGACTCTTCAGCTTTCCTGAGCTTTGCTCTGAGGGGAAAAGAGCTTTTATTAACTTAAGTGACACCAAACCCTTATTTCATGCCCATGTACTGTAAGGTCACTGATTAAGTGGATTTTGTGCTCCATCCTGAGGAGGACGGACTGACTAGCAGAGCTGAGCATGTCCTTTCCTTACTGTTTTTCAAGCTGTAAGGCAGGATAAGAACCTCTGTGCCCCTCAATGCAGGCATTCTTGGGCTGTATCTCCAGCACAGTCAGGAGGGAAATTATTAGCTATGTGAACACACCCATGTTAATGGTGAGCTGGGTACTGCTGGCTGGGGAGGTGTGGAAGTGCAGGCTTTAGCAGAGGATGTGCAGGTTTGCAACCAGGGCTTCCATTGCTAGTGGTTAATGCTTTAGGGATTTTTGTTTTAATTGCTACTGTTCTTGAACTGGCTTTAATCCCATTAGTTCAGGTATGCCTGCAGGAGCTGTGCTTGCACCTTGGATTGCAGGAGAGACATAGCCTTAATGCTGGGAACTAGAGCTCTGCCAGCCAAGCAGTGAGTTTTTGTTGTATCCTGTTTAGAAAGAATAAATTCTTTTGAGACCGATGCTTTTGCATTGATGATTTCTTTTCTGAAGCTGCCAAAAGGACAGAGAGGTTTCTGCTTGTGTGGAGTGTGCAGATGGGAAACAGCAGGAACAGCAGGGTTGATAGCAGCAACACGACATGCAACTCAGCTCTGACTCACCAGGAAAAGTTAGAGGGAGTGAAAGATGAGTGACACAGCAATAATCTCAGTCTACTGCATTTTCTGTGTCTTCCATTGAGGCTGACAGGATATGCCATCCTTGCAAGGAATTTTCTCTCTGAGTGAATCTCTCTACAGACAACTTGATTCAGAAAAGCTTTTGCCTTACTTCACGTAGAGCAAACCTCTTCTTTCATTTGCTGCTGGGCTGGTGCTGCTGCCTGTCACCAGCACTTCAGAAGCTGATATCCTTGAAGTCCATGCACCAATCTCTATGGCTTCTGATGTGAACACCTGGGAGATAAGAGCAGAGCGTGGGAAAACTCTAGGATGGGACTGTGGTGAGACGATGAGCGAGAGCCTGCGTTAAAAACTGAAGAGAAATTGCAGAGAGCTCCTGGTCCTGTCCTCCTCTGCCACCCACTGCGCTGCACAGCAGAGCTGGGGCGGGCTTTCACCCACAGGGATGTGGTCACTGAGGTTTCTGTCCCCAACCTGGGCTTGACCCCACCGGGTGTGATGACACTGTGTGTATTTGCGACAAGGTTCTCACCAGAATGCCAGACATGTTGTGTGGCAGCTGTACAAGGAGGCCAAGCCTTCCACCTACACAGCTCCTGACAACCCTTTGATATGCAATCCTGACCCCACAGCAGGGTGTTGCCACCTGTCCTGGAGTGCTCAGGCTTCCAGCCCCACTTTAGCCCAGGCTGTGGCCCCGCTATGTCTCAGGAACGCCTGGAGACGGTGGTGCAGCTGCACTGGCATCAGGGAGGGAATTTCCCTCTGCCCCACAGGTCTGTCACTCCCTCCCCACCTCAGGTGGTGGAAGTTTCCTGTGGGAGTTGCACAGTGTCCTGCTAAGCTCTTGAGGACAGGGCAGGCTCTCTTGGGGTCAGGGCATTGCTGGAAGAGAGCCTCCTTCTGACCTTGTTTCTGGTTTATCACTATAATCGCTGCTCTCTGTGTTTTACCTTCTTCACATGTGCATGAATAACCATCAGGCTTGTCCAGGGAGATGGAGCAAAATTCCAGTTTTGGCCTCAGACCTGGTTCCTTTTGCTCCCTCTTCATACACAGAAGAGCCCTCTTTTTTAGTAACAGTGAAAAGAAACCTCTCCAGTGTTCATATCTTCTCTTTGATGATGGTATTACCCTTACAGTTAATTTTTTTTGATGACTTCTCAATCATGAGAAAATGGAGACTCCAGCTTCTAAAATGCATGTTCAGCTTCAAGTCTGCTCTTTTATCCTCTCCTTCCCGCTATGTGAAAAAAAGGGGCAAAACCTCCCACTGCTCCCCATTTCTGGAGAAAAAAGACCCAGTGTGGCCCTCAGTGGTGGGAATGTCTCCGGAAGAGGGGACATCCATAGCTGTACTGAGGCTTTACCATCAGACTGTGATGAAGAAAACTATAACTCTGAGGATCTTGGTGGGGGGTCAGTGAGATAAAGAGGCTGGGGAATTAGAAGGGAAGGCAGCCTCAGGCAGGCTTTTTGACTTGGAGTGATCCCACGGAAACACACAGAATTGGCACTAGTGGGAAGCCCAGAGCACAACCCAATTAACCTGCTGAGATGGGTGCTCTGGGCTTCCTCCTAGCACCAGTCTCTGCCCTGGGACCTGGAAGATGGGAAAGCGTGGAGAAAACAAGGGATACCACTAAGTGTCCTGTGGGAGCTGGAAGTCTCCATAAACATGTGGGAGAACTGGAGAAAAGTAAAAAGTGTTTTGCTGTAAGCTGTGAGGTTGGAGCAGGAAGGGAAGCAGTGGGAAACTCCTGTTGTAGCTGTTCTGGGTGACTTGAAAATATTAATAGTTTCAGGGTTTCTCAAGCACAGAACTACAGCATGTCCTGACAAAGACTACAAAGTAGGTGATGGTGAGGGGTGAGAACATGGAAGACTTCAGCTTGTCTGTTGTGAGGTAGTCAGTCCTACAGTCCCTGTCATCTGAGCTCCTGTTGAGACAAGGTCCTGGGGACAAATACTCAAGAAGTGGTTTGTGTCTCATGAAACCATTCCTTACCCCTGCAAAGGAAATCCCCAAACTATACTGTCCTTTACCGTGAGTGGATGATGCTCTGACATTACAGATGTGATAGAGGAGACACCAAAGGCAACCAGACAGCTCTGAAAGCAGTTTACCTTGTGCTGTTGGGCAGGGCTGGAACAGTGACACCTCCTTTGTTTCTTCCTAACTCCACATAAAAAGTTGATGGCCAGCATGAGGGTTGTGCAGAGCTCCAGGTGTGTGGTACTCACATGCAGATGGCAATTTGAAGCCGGTGTGTATTTTAAAGTCCACAGTTGTTAGCACTGAGATGTTCAGAATTAGCTTGAGGAGAAGGATATGGAGAGCAGTACATTAACACACCTTTGTCATCATCTCTTTAGATGTGCCTATAGGGTTTTGCTGGACTGCTTGTTCACTGAGTTGTCACCAGTGCTGGGCCCAGACTTGGCCATCGGTGACCAAGCATGACCTTGATCACAGATGTTGCACAGTGTTGTCCTGGAGCTGTTGCCTGGGCTCTGCCCCTCAGGCCCCCACCAGCAGGTCTGTGCTCCACAGGCAGGTCAGTGCCAGCATGGAGGGGCTGGGGAATGAGTGCCCTTTTTTACTGCTTTTTTTTTTGCACTAGGGATAAAAGATGCTGGGTAGATGGGCCGGATTGTGTGTAAAATTGTGGTATTTTTATTTATGAATTTATTTTTTAATTTGCTGTTCTCCCTGTCCCTTGTCTCTCAGTATGGAAGGTGAGGGGGAAGGCTTGTATGAGCCAAAAGCCAGAAATCTGACACTTCTGGAGCAGTAGGATCAGAGATTGGCTGGAGGCAAAATCTGAATTCTTAAGGAAGCTTTTCCCACCATCGAGCATTTGTGTAGATTCTCCAAAGCCTGTGAGGGTCATACTCCTGTTACCTCTTTCCCTTCACTGGAGTTACTGAAGAATTGTCTTTCCTCTGCTTGCTTCTGTTTATGAAATTCCTAAAACCTTAATTCCTTTGAGACCTTTAAACATCCATAATATTTAGTTCAAATTGGAAAGTGTGCTCAAAAGGTACACTGACGTTTGTTTCTGTTCCCTTGGACAGCCAAGCTAAAAACATTTTATTGCTGGTAGGAGGGAATTATTTCCTTCTCTTCAACTTTTTCTAACAAAAAATCCTCAAATATCCCACAGACTTCTTGCTCTTAAAAGAAATTAATTTTAACTTTAAAAAAAAATTAAAACAACCACAACCACTCCCCTGGAAACCCCAAGCTGTGAATGAAATGTTTCATCCCCTGATGTAAAGGGTGGGGCTGATTTCAGGCAAATCCTGAAACCAGCAGTTGAAAAGGTGGCTCAGAGGAAAGCTGGCATCTCTCTGTCTTCCTTGGCTCCAAGTTGTTCAAAGGTCCTTGGACCCATAGACCAGTACTGGAGCCGCAGAGATGCCAAGAAACTGTGCCCCTCCCTTTCTCCCTTTTCAGGACGGGAGCTGCACAAAGGCATCCTGGCACTGACCTGGGTGGTGGTGGGTAGACCATTATAAATCCCCAGCAGTCTCCTCCCAAGGATATAAATGTTTGCCTCTGCTAAAAGATAATCTCGTGGTCATTTCAGTGACAGCTCAAATCGAAGCCAGAGAGAGGGTGCATGGAGGGGTAATGGGAGAGTAGTCCACAGCTGTTTCCCTGGCTGTTTTTCTCTCCCAGACGTGGAAGCAGCAGTGGCGGAGCGATGCCCTGCATTCCTGCCCACCTACACACATGCTTCCTCCGCATAGCCCCGTGCTGCCTGCTCACCACAAGCACTAGGGGCTTGGCTGTAAATCCGCTGTCCAGACAGAACCCTGACACCCTGGCTTCCGCCCTACTTCTGCAGGACACGTGCCTGTAGCTGTGAGATCAGCATCACACTCACTACCAGCACGGAAGCCTCCGTGGAAGGGCAGTGAACACTGAGGATATCACAAGCAGCCCCCTTGCCAGCTGACTACCTTTGAGGTCTGCTACTGCAAGAAGCTCCCCCTTGCCTGCACTCCAGGCTGCTTTGATCATAAAAAGGTTTGGGTTGGAAGTGACCTTAAAGATCATCTAGTTCCAACCACTCTGCTGTGGGCAGGGACACCTTCCACTAGACCAGGTTGCTCAGAGCTCCATCCAGCCTGTCCTTGAACACTTCCAGGGATGGGGCAGCCACAGCTTCTCTGGGCAACCTGTTCCAGTGCCTCACCACCCCCACAGTAAAGAATTTCTTCCTAAATTAAGAAGTTTTCTAGTCCTCATGTACCCACTTAGATCCCCTCTGAAATCTCCAGCTCTTGAACATTTTGGCCTCCATCTTCCAGTAGATTTTCTTTAAGGCAGTGCAAATGAAGTTGGCCAAATACCACTGAGCCCTGAGAGCCTTCCAGCTATGCATGGGGTATTGTCAGCTCACACACACACACACCCTGTGGCTTGTGTTCCCACTGTGGACAAAGGAGCACCTTGCAGCTGAGAGGAGCCGGGTGCAACCTAACTGCAAGGGTGAATATCTCTGCCTAAATTCATGGTCAATCAACCCACAGCTAAATGTTGGCTGTGAGCAGCAGGGAGGAAGGAACTTTGGATTGGAAAAGAGAAATCGGAAGACTTGCTGGCTTTTGCAGGGGGCTTTTGTGCACTGCTGCCAGTGGGTTTCCATGGTTCTGTTTTCCAGTTGGAAAAAGCAAAAGATAGACCTTCTGAGCTATCTCAGAACACATCCAGATCTCTGTGGGAGGCTGAAAATGTCCAGTCCTCTGGGAAAAGCAGCCAGGTGCTGTGTGCACTGCCAAAACAAACCAATCCATAAGGAATTTGAACATGTCCAGTCCCAAGTATGAGGACTGGTACAGGTCTTGGGCAGTTGGTGGCCCCGTTTGAAGTTTTTATGGAAATGTCCTTGCTATAAACCCCTCTCATCAGTGTCTTGTGAGTGAGAAGAGAGCCCTGCTCCAAGCAACTATTTCTCATCAAAATTATGTGGTTCTGCTTTTTAAAATTAAGTGGTTTTTTTTTTTTTTTGGAAAAGTTATTCTTTTGGTGTGAATTGCTAGATGGAGACTAACTACCTCTTCTTGACTGCGGTGCTGCTAGATGTGTTCAGCACTAAAACCAAGAATCACAGGATTGATGGTTTGGGCTGTAACAGACCTGTATTTACTGTCTGGGATACCAAGGGGTACTCTGCTGTGCAGAGCTAAGGGAGTAAAACCAGAGGCCAACTTCACCCTCGGAGGCAGAGGCCAGCCCAGCAGCATCAATTGCAGGAGCTGCCAGTTGTACTTCACAAAGCCCTTGGTATGTGTGATCTGGGCATGTGCCAGGTGAGAAGACTGGCCAAAACCAAAGTGGGTCTATCTCCAGCTGGGAATGATTGAGCCTTTCCCTGCTCCCAGTGTGTTGGCCCTGGCAGTCAGGGCATGCTGGGGAAGACTCTTCTCCAGCTCCCGTGGAGAAGTAGGTAGAGCAGGATTTCACAAGAACAGCATCTATCTCATAGCACTTCTTTTGTCTTTTAGGCTGAAATCTGTCAGGAAAGACAAACTTTTCCAGGCTGTTGGAGGAGCACACAATGCATGACCACCTTTCCATGAAGCCAAGCTTGGAGATGTAACAGCTAATCCCACCACAGGCATGGTGGAAGAAATCCAACAAGGTTCTGGTGTTTCTCCAGGAGTAAGCATGGGGTCTCAGCAGTGTATCCAGAGCCCAGCCGGCTGATTGATGCTCCTCCCCAGCAGGTTGGTTATCCATATCCACAGGTGCATATTGAAACCAAGTATTGAAGCAAGAGAACATGAATGCAAGCTCTTGATCAAATGGTTTGTGCATGGAGAGGATTTGCCTGCCATGTCTTTGGTTAAGGGTGTATGCTCAAAGCCTAGACCAGAGCCAGGCTAGGAGTGTGGACCATGACTTTGTCTGGCCCTCCTTGCCCATTCCCTGGAGTATTTGCTGCATCAGGAGAGGCAGCTGCTCAGGGGTCAGCACAGCACTGATTTCAGCAGTGGAAAGGGATGCAGCCCTCTGCAGCCGTGCTCCCTGGGCTGCTTTGTGTGTGTGCAAGCCCTGTGTGATTCCTCCTCTCCCCTTCCTTGTAGGTTCTGGTTTGAAGATTCTCACACTTCTTCCCCAGTGACGCAGGCTACAAGGTTTGGTGTTTATTCTGGGGTTCAGCCTAAGAGAGGGAAGGTGTTTCACATTACTGATCTTCCACAGGCAAGGCAGAGGAATCAGTGTCCAGCAGTGAGGGTTTATTAACTTCAGTTAATAAACACATCCTTCACTTCCAGCCTCTCTTCCTTGGCAAATGCCACTTAGCGAAAGCTGCTTAGGCTTGGCCGGGGATCAGCCCTGCAAGTTTACAGGATTCACAATTCACAGATGTTAGGAACTATCAGGCTGAGTGTGGGTGGAGAATGTCAAGACTGAAATAGCTCCCCTGCCACCCTGGCACAGGCAGCAAAGAAAATGTTTCCACGTGACATTCTTCGAACAAAAATTTCCTACAAGGAAAACACAGAGGGAAAAAAAATAAGAGGCAATTGCTGCTGTCTCGGAAGGTTGCTGGTTTTTGCTTGGGAGGCTGGCATTTGTGCTGACATTGGCACAAAATATAGGTGAGTTGTAGGGCAGCCCCTTACACTTCTCTTCATGCACACAAACGTATAGGTCTGCTTGAAGATGCAATCCCACTGGTGCACAGATATGTGGATGCTATTTTTTTCCTACTGGAATCCATTTTAATTTAGCTCCTGATTCATATTTCATTCATTCTCCAAACCCACAAAACCAGGATAGGTTTACAGCCAGTACTATTTGGATAAGTCATGGTGGGGCAAAAAACAGGGGGACAAAACAGGTTGCTTTTCTGAATGATTTTCTGTATGACTCAAAAGACAGAGGAAAAAAAGAAAAGGAGGTGGTGGGGAGAGAATTAAAGCTATCCCTTCTTGCTTTCATGTTCATTCAGGAAAATCAGATCTGCTTTTCCTCTTTGGTACTTTGTTTTGGTGGACTTCACTTTGCTCTCATTTCTTTAGGCTTTAGTGGCTGAAAAAGATGTGATTTCTACTTTCTTTTATTTTCTCCTCAAGAAAATATTGGGGGTGTTTTAATTATGAAAATGTATATATTATTTACAGAACACCAGAGCAATGAAAGATTTCTATGTCATCTCAACTTTTTCAGAGAAAAATGGCAAAAATCTATAGAGGGAAACATTAACAATTATGTCTGATAGTTTTCTTGCAGGGAGGAGAGCAGGAAGGGGAGGGAGAAGAGCAAAAGTTCAGAGTTAATTTTAATCGAGGAATTTCCCCATATTTTGTCATTCAGCTTTTGAAACTGTGACCACAACAGGCTGTTTGAACTGTGGTGTGAGAGAGTCTGAAAAATTCCCCAGGCAACTATATGCAGGTACCAGCCACAGAGTTGACAAGGAGAGCTTTTAAAGTACGATGAAATTCAGCACGGGTGCTGCACCCAGCAGAGGAAACTCCAGCCATCTGGAGACGAGGATGACCAGCGGCCACAGCAGTTTGAAAAATTGCAAGGGCTGCCAAAATTAAACTGTGAAGTCAGGCGGGAAGGCAACCAATGACCGGTGAGATCAGAAGTTCAGAGAAGCCCCAGATGAGCTCCCAACAACAAGTGTGGCCAGCGCGCACCAAAGTTTATTAAGGATGTTGAGAGGAGGGGAAAATATCCGTGCAGAAGATGCCCAGCTGGCGAGGAGGGAGTGGTGGTGATGCTCGTGTCACTTGATGAATCCCATTGGCCAAGTCCCCAGGAGATCCCACCCATTCGCAAGTGTAAAATAAATCTCTAAAGTTGTACCTCGTGTACCACTTGACCTTATTGCTTTTAGCCTGCTGGCTTTATAACTATTTATTTATTTTATTTTGGTTTGTCCCCAAAGAGGGGCTCAAAAGGAAATGAATTTTGAACCAGCACCTTTCACCACCTTGCAGTACTACCCTGATCCCTGCATCCAGCGGTGAGTCTCTGAGCGTGACGTAACTCTCTCCTATCGCAGGTTTGATCTGAGTGTCTTGTGTAATTGTTAACTTTTCTGCTATCGGCCGGTGGCAGCTGGGCTGCATGCGGAAAAAATGTGCCGCTCTCTTCATGCTCAATGGAGCTTATTATTATTTTTGGCTTTCTAACAGGTTACTGTTTAATTATAGGCATCCGTTTATGATATCCGCTTTTCCTCTTTGGCATTAGAGGGGAAAAAAGTATGATAAATAACATGAAGGCTGATAGTATCTTCCCTTGTGTTTTGGAGCAGAAGGTTACTCTGTGCTCTGGGTAGTACAGGAATTGCTTTAGCTTTCTACAGTGTGCTTATTTGTTTCTTTAAATGAAAAAGCTCCTGGAGATAATATGAGCTTAACTATTAAGCTCTGAGATTTTGGTATTTAAAGGATAAATAAAAAATTTAAAATATACAGAGAAATAAAAAGCTGCCTTCTAAGAGCAAGTAATTTTCCAGGAATATTTTTTCCTTCTGTCTAACAGCCAGCCTCAGAGCCTGCCAACCACTCTTATTTTAGCTTTGTTGTTACGCCGAGTTTTATAACTTTCCAGCAGATAAAAGAGCATGTCCGCACGAGGTGTCACAGTATCACATTGTCGGTTTGTTTGTTTCCACCAGCAGAAGATACTATATTTAAGCATGTAAATGACATGTAGATGGTATTTTTCCAGTCATAAAGTTCGGAGAGGTGAAATCCTCTGAGCGCAGTCACTTGTTGAGCTGTTTTAAGACTAGTTTCTGTCTGTGTTTTGTAAAAGCCCTGGCTGGTGTCTCACGAAGACATTCAATCCCTGGAAGAGTTAACTATTAACTCTGCAT